GTTACAGGTATCACAGAACAAACTTTCAGTCAGAACATCATCTCCTTTATACCAAACATTCCATCTTATCTGTCGTACAGCCGTTAGTGTTCTGGCCGGAAGTCAACAGCCAGTCGTGTCTCCTGGCTTTTTTGGATATTGCTAAAGCTTACGATTCCTTAGATCGTAATTTTTTATTTGAAGCAATGGATGCTATGGGCGCAGGAGCAGGGTTAATTAGCTGGACTAGGCTTCTTTTATCCGATACAGCATCGAAAGCGGTGATAAATGTTTTTTTTCCCGTGAAGTCGCTCTTACAGCGGGTGTGCGACAGGGATGTCCATTGGCACCGTTGCTATACTTGTTTGCCGCGCAGGCGTTTCTTTGTTGGTTACAGTTCAACCGAGTGGGGATTCATTTACCCCAAAATAATTCAGAAATGCTTACAGCGGTGCAATTTGCTGATGATACGGAAATTGTTTTAGAAGGAATCCAAGCAATTCCGGCTTTTCTTGACTGTATGAGGGTATACGCACAGGCTTCTGGACAGCAACTTAACCTGGATAAGGTTGAGCTCTTACCTCTCGGCACCCACCCACATCATATCACAATAAATCATGACATGAAGGTGGTACACATGGCAACGGCACTCAATCTGCCTTTTACGGATGTGGGAGACACCACAGTCATGGACTGGGACGTGCAATTAGACAAAGTCTGGCCTCGGTTTCGACGCATTTCTGTGTTACACCTTTCCATTTTTGGGCGTGCACAGGCAGCGGCTGCCTATGGGCTGCATCGTTTTATGTGGCATATGGAACACGGCCGTGTTCCCCCCCGCGGGGGGTTTCCCCCAGAAGCAAAACTGATTAATATTGAGGCTAAAACTGCCAAGCTTACTGATAGGAACCTCGGACCAGTCGCACATGACAGACGACTCACCGGGGTTCCTAAATATTTGTTATATGGCCATCCAACTTTGGGCGGTTTTGGGGCATTAGCAGTTCGAGAACACGTACAAGCGCGATGGGCGTGCTGGG